GCTATTAAATGGATGATTGAACGGAAATGACTTAGTACGGAAAACGGGATTGTGGCCGGTAGGGTAGTGAGAAATAAATGACGTATAAGATCTGCTTGAAAGTCAACTATAATTATGGGCAAAGTATATTTAAAATATCAAGAAACCAACTATTTTTTATAGGTAGGCCTTGTCTGTGGCAAAGTCCCATATGGGACGAGCGAATATTGCGTAGAGACATTGCAAGACTTAAAAATATCCGTGAATCCCAATATTCACAATTCACTTTACGTCAGAGCAAATTAAAGAAAATTTTAAGTGGTAGTTCGACAAAAAATTACAAATTCATCTACCGTTTTAAACAGCTACCTATAGATAGGTAGGTGCCTAATATTAGACATAACATTCGCCACGAAAATAATGGTTTTTTCAAATAAAAAAGTTCAATTCAAAAGTGATAAAATTATTGAGACTTATTTTAAAATAAACTGAATTGCTTAATTTTTTAACAGAAAGATTTATTCGATGGACGGTTTCAAATTTAAGGCTAATGGGATTTAAAATAGAACCTTTTAAAAGCGAGTATTTTAGAAGTATTGAAATATTAATCCAGGTTAAAACAGCTTGATGGCTATTTAAAATCAATCGTTTAACTTTACTCGTAAATCTTTTGATTCAATTTTATGTTTTTCAGTGTTGGATAAAAATAAAATTGGAAAACATAATCACGCCTTCATCCCGGGGTAGGCAAGTCATAAACGGCTGTACAAAACTCCCACTTACACCACATCTGACAATAGTTTAAGAGTTACTCAGAAGACTGTGTATGACTATTTATAGTCACAGCACAGGTTGTCAACCTGTCGCCTAAAATTGCATTTCACATCATCCCTTAGTCGCTTCTTGCGACACACTCGGGAAAGATATGGGGTGATGCCATTATAAGCCGACGACACTACACGGCAATTATAACCTGGCACCACATGGCAATTAAATTGCACAATGGTTATTACATTTTTCTAGGAAGTACCTACTTTTGGCAGGAATCAAATATTAACCTGTAGATGAATCGATAGATAAACTCCAAACACCAATATCGACATAGATTTTCCTAATACTGTTCAAAGATGATAACCCTCTTTACCAAATGGTGAAGTTTCAAGATTTTGACATGGGCCGGACGGTTGGGGCAAGTTCAACAGAGAGAGGTTATGATTGATGCTGCCACAACACGACCCAGATCATAATAATAATCGAATATGTTTTCAGAGGAAACATGCGATATTGATCTTTCCATTTAGAACCTTTTAAAGGAAAAAACGGAAAACATATTACGTAGCTGTAAATTTTCCTACAAGAGTATTGATTAAACATACATAAAGGAACAATCTGAACAGATTAATTATTATTTTTGTTATCAGCCCGTGTCGTGCAAGGCAAATACATATTTAATTTTTAAACAATGGTTTTGTTCCAATTCTGTGTAAAACATGAAATATCAACTTAAAATACGAGCGCTCCTTATGAGTGCGGGCTTTCAATATCGAGCGGAAAAAATAGCTAGAAAGCCCAGACCCAGTTCAGACTACATTGGGAAACAATTCACCCATGCAGCCCGCACGTTACTGACACTACAGAGTGTCCAAAAAGAGTATGAAGTAGCGGGCGACATGGATTGTAGGTGAAAACGGAAAACGGCGCCGTGCTTCCGTCGTGCTGTCCGCGCAAATAAAATTCGCTGTCTCAGCACGGTTTTCCATTTATATCTGAAGACATATAAGTACAATTTTGCCAAAGAGCTCGTGATAAACTAAAATAATTCATCAATGTTGGAATCTTCATAATCTAGAAATTTTGTTAAATACATAAATTAAATATAATTTTTTAGTCTCTTTAAACCAAGCATCTAGAGAAATCCAATATCCAGCAGCAGAACGTAGACTCACCGCTGTAAAAGATTTATTTATTTCTCATTACATTACTTTTTATTAAAATGTCATAAAATATGAATATTGGTAAACATTTCTTATTTATAATAATAATACTTTTCATGAAATAATCGGTTCTCAGCTGCAAACTTCTCTCAGCCACACGTGCACAATACGCGGGTAGCAAACGTTGCGTTTTATAGCCGACCATGTATCAAAGTTTCGCAAACGTTTAGAATATCTACAAGAGCCACGCTGCCTGAACCTAAACCCCGACAATACCCGACTCGACTTTACGGCGAAAATTTGAAAACTTTGTTTAAAATTAGTTTGTATACCTCTTTTTGGGTGCTACTGTACAGGAAACAATATGAGCGACACGGTGGCGCGTAGACCCAAACTTGGAAAGTTTGTCAAAGCCTCACTCGCGGAACTTTAACAATTTTACGACGAACGTAACATTGCAGCGTATCTTGAATTTCCAACTCCGAACAGGTCTCACTGCAAAATTATTTTCCACAATTCTTGTATGAATATTCAATTTCAGGTTTCCTTTTTTATAAACCAAGGAAGGGATGCCATTATTTAAGTTTCGTGTAAGCAATTTGAAATTCCGACTTGCATCACAATGTAAAAAATAGCAAGTGCAGCGGCGGAATCCTGAGATGCTCCAAAGCAATTTCGTTATTACTCCCTTATAATAAAAGCAGCTGGCAGAAAGGCTAAAACCTGGCTTCGAGCGATGCAATTTGCGTCATTTCGTCAAAATTACTGACTAAGCCAGCCCATCCTTGCAAAACTTCATTATAGTCGAGTGAGCACAAATTATCTTTTCAGAATACGGAGCGCGGGGTATTAATCTGGATTTTGGTACTTTGAATCTACAGGGATTTTCATTCTTGCTTTCAATTTTACATTAATGTTCGGCAATATTTTGTAAGAAGTAGAGAGCTGTATTGTTTTTAGAAAATTAAACGTATTTAAATTCCTTATTCATTGAACAGGGAGAAATTTGTTACCAAGATTTAATTACGCGGCATTAATATTTTAACAAGATAAACTTTCTTGCTTACTAGACCTAATTCCTTTAACTTAGAGACCTAATTCTTGAAGTTGGAGGTAAAACCTACATTGTGGTTTGCTCAATTCTACTTTGAAACAAGATTACAGCACCGTTTGTTAGGGATTGTATACTGGTAAAATAGGGATCCGATGTGTTGAAACTTTTCTCATCAAGTCCGGAACTTCATTCTAAGTCGCAATGTGTAAGATATTGTTGCTGGTATTGTAGTGGTAAACGAGCACCTATGGTTAACCCTTTTAAAAGGTGTAGAAAATTATTTAGTCTTTCTATATTTTCTGGGAAATATTGTAAGTACTTGTGTGTGTAAGTATAAGGAATCCAATGTAGAGTTAAAGCAAAATTTATAAAGTATTTATTGATAAAGAAACAATAAATAGTAAATTTAACGAAATAGCGATATAGATGTCAAAATAAGGACTTGCAAATGTGGTGGTATTACTGACTGACGACGTGTTGGATCAGAAATATTTTGCTAAGTAGCCTTTCCGATGTTTGCTATCGACGATTGATTGAAAAAATATGCTTCTAAAGGTCCTTACCCCCTCCCCTACCCCAAAAGATAAAAAATAAGATTGGCTTGCATTTTCCACGAAGGCTAGCAAATCCCTGCACAGCAACCCGTAAAAGTTATAAATTAATCAGACCGATGGGGGAGATACGAAGTACTTCTTTGAGCCCAAATCAATCCTATAAAAGGTTTCCTTTGATCCTTTCACTTCAGAGGGCTTGCTGCAACTATCCGAAGCACGCACGCAAAGGGGTTTCAACTTAAGGCGAATAGTGCCGTAACACTAGCTCCACTTCACAAAAAATAATAGTAACTCTTCATAAAAACAATACATGAGAATACGCTTTAAAATAAAACTCACAAACGCAGTTAAAAAATTAGAAGTGCACAAAAATTTAGAAGTATAACCAAAATTACCGTGATCATTTAATTGAGTTTATAATTACTAATCAAACTTTACAAAACATTGTGTAAATAACATTCTGATATGTTCTTTGCATTAAGAGATAATGTTTTTTTGTCTTGAAGTGGCACTAGTTTGCGACAACACTCGCCTTAAAATAGTTCTAGAAAATCGTTTCTTCTTTCGACAAGCATTCCTAATGTCTCTTTTTAGAAGAGCAATATTACAAAGCACTTAGTTTTTGCTACAAACTCATCTTGAAATGGAGGTAAGGTTTTGACAAAGTATGTTCTTCACAGAAAGGGAGAGTGATTTGTTTGTGCAAAGTTTTTCAATCACTGTTTCGAGGAAGCTTATCTCTTAAGATTTTCTTCTGAAAACTCATGCAAAATGAATGTTACGAATAAATTGAGTAGCTCAGGGCCTTTGTACACTTGGTGAAGGTTAAGTATTAATATTTAAGAACTGGTATGGTTTCCTAAGAGACGTTTTAAATACCAAAGCCTCACAGAGTCTACCTTTATTTAGTTTACCTGTTGGCAAAATTTTATACCAGGCCAAGAACCTGATAGCAGGTAATTAATTTATTATAAAAAATATATCTCCTTGATGAATTTCTTAAAAACATACGTACGTACTTACAACCAAATAATGCATTAATCAGAATAATGCGACTTAAACTAAACTAACAGACGGCACTTACACCAGTTGTGGTCGTAGCAAATGAAGTAAAGTACTCTCCGCAGACCAAATTCAGCTAGAACCGCAACGATGTTCAGCTAGACCAAAGGTTTACAAAGTTTTCATGGATACGCCTTTTTAGTTCAAAACTTACGCAACTCTACTTAGGTTTTGAAGAAAAAAATGATGACCTGATGAACTCAGACGTCAGAATTTTTCAACAGTTTGTAACAAGTAGCAGGCTGCTAAGATGGTTGTGATCGACCGCCACAGTCTAAGTTATTGATCATAGACAGCAAACGAGACCGACGGCTTTACGTGCCCTCCGAATCACGCAACCATCTCTCTTTTCGGACCCTGCAATGTCCTAACCAAAGGGGGAACAAATTCACAAAGTGCTAAATATCAACTTTGTGATTGACGCACCGAGAATCGAACCCGGGACTTTATGCGTCGCAGGCAGTCGCATTACCACTGCGCTGCGCCACATCGGCCAATGAATAGAAATAAATTAACGAGCATTAAAAAAATCCAAATGTTTGCCTTGTGGTGCCGGCTTAGAATAGAATCACCCCATATCTTTCCCGTGGGTGTCGTAAGATGCGACTAAGGAATGTGACATGTGTATTGCAATTTTGGGCGACTGGCTGATAACCTTTCTCTATAGTAATGCACGGTCTTCTGAAGAACTCTCAAACCTTTGTTGGGCGTGGTGTAGGTGTCCGTTTTACAGCCAATTTCGCTCTGCCTACCCAGCAGGGGATATAGGCGTGATGTATGTATGTATGTACGCATCTAAATGTTAATAATTAATCAACCGAACGAGCCAAACTACAGCGTGCGGTACGTGATAACCACAGTTTGGGAACGCCTGAGCGAAAACATAGAACACACCAGCATTCGGCCACAACGCAACATTCAGAATGTTGGAGTCACGTCTCCAGACGCTACAGTTTGTATTTATAGCTTGATAACTTTAGCGCATACTAATAACAACGGCTCGATACAAACTTGATCGCGAAACAAAACATCTTGCATGTCCTATTCAACTTTAGCCACGCAACTGCAAACAGTTTGCAAAATGTGAACTGACTTCAGACATAAAGTGTCATAACTACAGTCCTCACCTTTGCTGGTTTATTAAGTTTGAATCAAATGGTGATTGATGTTGATAGCTGACATACCTGAAACAAACAAAAAAAGTATTTTAGTAATGGTACCCTTATTTTCCAAGCGTCGCGACAACGACGCGCGTCAACAACGCCGTCAAATTTTGACGGCGTCGTTGTCGCTGCGGTCTTGTAGAAAAACCCGACTGCATCCCATACAAACTTTAAGCTTCTCAGCGCGCTGTCAACGTGACGGCGTCGTGGCGCGCCGCAACGACGCCGACGCTCGGTCTTACTGGTTCCCCATACAAACCAGTCATTTGACGACTGTCGCCTGGTTTTTAAGCCTACCCTTAGACACAATACAGTACTGATATCACAAAAAGAAAAAGAAAGTGTATTACCAAAGACCCAAGTACTCAAAACTATACTTGAGTAGGTAAACTAAACCATTTGCTGATAATTCAGTTTCAAAACAAATGTGAGACGAGAAGAAGACGATTATTCTACAGGGATTTACTCTGCGTGTTGTGTTTACGTTGAAACTTGTTCTTGGCTGAACATATTTGCTCTCCCAATCGCTGTTCCCCTAAGAGGATAAGATCAGGCAAGTTACAGAGTGCGCGTATCGCACTTGCCCATAGTGCCCAAAGAAAACAAAAGTTTTATAGATAATTACGTTGAATGTATGAGAAATATTGATGTCTAATACAGGGTGTAAGGAACGGTGTACCGAAAACTTTGCAGGCGTGATCAGACTATGAAACTGAACAACTTTTACTATGAAGCCAAGTGGAAAACGAGAAAAAATTTCCGACCTCCTATACAAAATTCACGATCAGCTAACTGACTTCGTATGGGACGTCAAAAATTTTTTTTCGTTTACCACCATACTTTCCATGGGGAAAGTTGTTCAATTTCATGGTCTGAGCACGCCTGCAAAGTTTTCGTTACACCGTCCCTTACAACCCGTATACCTAGTTAGTTCTTTCATTGTCTCTTTTCACAGCTACTGATGTCTAGAAAGGTTGTGTTCATACCCGTGCCAACTATTCATACCTTGTAAGGCGCACTGGCTAGCTTGCTTGTATATGATCTAAGCTGTTCCCCAAATCTTGCTTAGGTGTGCTTAACGTTGATTAAAGTTAGAATTACAGTTTCAGATAATGACTCCATTACATTTGAGTGGATGTTGTAACTACATTGATGTTTGCAGTTTCGAAGCGCAAGTTTATTTTATTGCACGCATAAGTTTTAATTGTTATAATACCTTTTGTTTATTTTGGTAGGTCGACCTAGATAGTTTTGATTTTAACTGGTCTGAAAGAGCCTTAGACCATACCCAGGTGAAACCCGGGAAACAGAAAAAATTGTCCAACAGCTGACTGATTTGCTGACAATTAAGGTATGTCAATGTTGTAGTTCAAATAAAATATTACATGGAATCCAGGAATACCTGCTCTACAGATTCAGATCTAACAAAGCCACGTCACTTAGCAAGTAAAGCCTCCAATTCACATGCGGTGCCTAATAGAAGGAAAGTGCAAACAGCAGTGGGTATGAGCACGTCAGTCCCCTGTGACACGAGTTATACGAGCGGGAAAAGAAAAAGTGTATGAAATCGGGCACTAGTGGCAAAATATGCTCGTATCTATTATATTTGAAAGTTTGCAACAAAAGAATGGAACCACAGGGAAAACCCTTGTCACGTTAGACTTTGCATGTCACTAACTCGAATAAAACAAATTGAGTTCATTTATTATTTTAATAATCTTTAGTCGAAGCTTACATCTCAATCATATAGCTAATAAGTAGTAGATTAGTTAAAGTATAGCAGAGCAACTTATTCTTTCACTAGCCGTACGTATGTGGTGTTAACCGCTCTGACTTATTATCCCGCGGGCAAAAGACGTGTTCCCGATACATATTATACGTAGAAACATTTCATCTTGAATCACACTTCCTTTAAAAAAACTCATCAAAATCCATTGCGTGGTTTGAGACGAGTAAGCGAAATCCAGGACAGACAAAGAAACGCAAAATTCGTGTTTATTTTGTACCTCTATGTTTTGAAGACTTGAAAGATATTAAGTATCGGACTCAGCACCTACAACATCATTCGACCTGAGAATTTCATTTTCAACACACTACCAGTAGCTTAGTACCTATCGAGGCGTTGGAAATTCAAGCAGCTTAAGAAATTTCCTGGAGCATATCAGTTTACGGCGCTTTTACTACTTGTTGTGGAAATTCCAGCATTTGCGGTATCAGCACCACACACTTGCTCTGCTGGCTGTGTTTACGGACAATGTTGTTGGAGATCGACTCGTCAAAGTTTAGAAAAAGATTTTGTCTTTAAAATATACTGCTTTTTTCAATGCTATACGAAAAGAAAATATTTTCGCATAAATTCTTCTTCTTTTCGTGTGGGACACCGAGTCGTTCAACGACCCGATGAACCCTGGTGTCAGAGTTTTTCAACCGCCTACTGCAATTAGCAGGCCTTTGACATGATTGTGTAACGACCGCCATCAGAGACAGCAACCGGGACCGACGGCTTAGGGTGAGAATCCACCAGAGCTGTGCGAGGTAGCTAAGCGGTGTGCGAGGAAAAAATCCACCAATAGAATCACTTCATTTTCCTAGCCTCGCTCAGCTCAGCTCTGGTGGAATCGGGTTTAGCGAAGCGAGGCCATTCTACATACAAAATAAGCGAGAAATGTGTTGCAAGGAATGCGTTGCGAGGAATGCGTTGCGAGAAATGTGCTGCCAGGAATATGTTGCGAGGTTTGCGAAGATTCCCTGCCAGTCAATAGACGGCTGATGTTGAAAGCTTCGCAACGCATCCTCGCTCCGCACATTAATGCGCATTTTGACAGCTCCGCTACGCATACTCGTACGACACATTTTACTCGCACAGCTCTGGTGGATTCTCACCCTTAACGTGCCCATCCGAAGCACGGAACCTTCTTACTTGCGGACAATCAGGTGGTTCAGCCTGCAATGTCCTAACCAGACTGGGAACAAATTCACAAAGTGATAAATATCAACTTTGTGAGTGACCCCACCGGGAATTGAACCCGGAACCTTTGCGTGGGAGGCAGGCATACTAACCACTGCGCCTCATCGGCTGTCGCATAAATTAAGACAGACATTTAAAAGAGAGTTTGATAGATAATTTTGTTTACCTAAAGAAGAAAGAAGAAATTAATGGTAGTTCATTCAATCGTAAGTAACTAGTTGAGTATTTGACTAGCGTTCTATTATTCATCTAAGAAGTAAACTTAGAAATAAAAAGAAAGATTAATTGCGTTTTTTTGCGTCAGAAGCTAGCTGAATGCTGAAAATTCCATTTCAACACTGCATTCAAACATTTTCTCAAAAGCATCTGCACTGTATCTTCTCATAAACCGTTCCAGCTCCAGGACATAAACCTTGGTCTGAATTCCACCTCACTTTATGACAATGCCCTCAAGTTGACATAAATTTTTACGAGGGACCGTTTGGTCGCCGCCACACAAAGTACACTAGCGCGACAATAACTATACATGACGGTAACTCTAGCCCCGGAAAACCAAATGAAGCCGTATTGGATTAACTAGGTTAAGTTCAGCTTGGTACATATGTTTCATTTTGTTAAAACAGTAAAACTCCAAACAATAATCGCTATCCTTTGAAAATACAGCGAACTCATTTTTGCATTCTTGAACGGGAACCTTTTTTTATTAAATGATTATGGAATAGAACTAAAAATAAAAACTCAAATAGCAACTGATAAGATAAGAATAATAAATAAAATTAAAACAGCTGATTTTTAAAATTGGAGATTCTATTGACAGTCAAAAATTGTAACCTAGATATTACATTTAAGACAATAAAGACCTCAGCTAAAGGTGACCCATCCGAAAACAGTAAAACAAGGGTCTCAAATGGAATGGCTCCAGCAGTAGTATGCTAAACAGGTAACGGTGTAGCATTAGATATTCACACCGCTGACCCGGTGCGATGGGACGACGCACTTTACGACCGGCCGCCAATTCCACAAGAATCGAAAAAGATCGGTAAATACTCTTTACGAGTCCCCGCCAGGTAAAGTCAGTCAGAGTACGGGGGGTCAGGTAACCCAGCAGGTGACTACCTGTAGGTATCTAGATCGCATATTTACCTTTTCACAAAACAGCAAGAAAAAAGAAATAAGAAGATCGATTTAAATCGTAATATTGTCGCCTATGTTCCTGTGTCTGATTTGTGGAGTAAAATACTGTTTTGACAAATAACTGAATGAACACTTGTCCTCAGGGTATTTGAGTATACCTACGGAGCGTCTGTGTGACCCTACAACCATGAATTGATTCAGAACTGTTAAAACAGATAGATG